TTTGCAATCAAATTAATACAAATAAAATAAAAACTACAGTTTGTGTCTATAATAGCACCACTAAATGTTTCCTGTTACTGCTTGACGTCCATCAGTCTCCATCGATCTGGTGCTGATGGTCTGTAGTTCAGGTGTCCTCAGCAGCTGTACTGAACACAGAGCAGTGAAGAAAGCCCGCAGGAGCTGCAGGTGCAAATGAATGAGAGAACATCAAATGACAGACACTCACAGCTTCATAAAAGCGTCTCTGAGGACGTCAATCCCCTGACAATCAGCCGAGAGACACAGATCTCTGAGAGCAGGTAGAACAGCACATCTATCTGATACAAGCCCTTAACAAGTCCATTACGTGGGTTATTAAAATGACAGCTCTGCCACATTTTACACCGAAAAAAAAGATGTCAAAATCACTTCATGTCCTAGATTCACGTGAGCTAATGCACGAGGGATATGAGATGTCTTACTTCAAGTATATTTGGAATAATGTCGTATTCACATTGCCGCAGGATTCATTACCATTGCCAAAGTTAAGATCTGCTCTGAGCATCTCTGCTAGGAATTAGATCATGTCCATCATATGTGTCTTAATAAACCCTTTTAAAGAAATCATTCCTTACATGAAAAATGAAATTAGAAGCAAATCTTAATATTAAAGTACTCTGAACATATGATGTTCCCAGCAAACAGGGAATGTTATCAGAAGGTTCTGGAAAGGTTATGAACAAACGTTCTTCCAGGAACGTTAATACAATGTTCCTTCAAAGTTATCTGGGCTTTAACAAAGCGTTAGCACAACATACATTTATATATTGTTCATAGAACGCTTTTTTTCTGAAATATTACTGTTTTTTTAAATGTTACTGTTTGTTTTAGAATGTTTAGAGAACATTCAAAAGTAACATTCTCATAATGTTCCCTTAAAGGTGGGGTAAGCGATTTTTCAAAAACACTTTAGAAAACCGATTCGGGCCGAATAGCAAAACAAACTTGTAGCCAATCAGCAGTAAGGGGCGTGTCTACTCAGGATGTGGAGGAGAGAGCGTTCAGTGCACGGGATGGACATTAGCCGAGCCGAGCGACAGAAAGATAGAGATGGCGGATAAAAAACAAAAGAGGAAAACGTCTGCGGAACGATAAGGCAAGAAGTAGGACCCGTGTAAATATCGGATCAGCTTTCCAGCGCTGGAGAGAACTCAAGGAGCGGAAGGCCTGCGATCGGACACAGAGGTTGCTTTGTTTCTTCTCGATAGGCGAGTAACACCGTGTCTGCGCCGCAACAGCTAAAGTCTGTCTAGTACACTGGACGCGACAAAGCGACCGTTGAAAATCATTTGAAATTTGTGTCAATACATCATGAATAGAACCCAGCAGCAGTTTTCTGTCGG